TTCCTCAGCCTCTGCTTACTAGATTCATCCTTTAGCTAAAAATACTTGAATTCTTGAAGTATTGGATCAACATCCTGTTTTGGTTGATAGTCTGGTTTGAATGTTTGTTTTTAAGGCTGCAGCTTTTTTTCAGAAATTGGGCAGATTCACATGAAATTGGGAATTCAAGGTTGGATTCCTTCTACAAGAACTGTTAGCATTGCAATACCATCTTGGCCCTGCCTTGAGACAAGTTTACCTCTTAGGAGTGTGACTAGTCCCTTCCTCTCAGCCCTTGGGATGAAGGGGGAAGAGGGTTACTAGTGAGTAAGCAGAGCTATGGGCTTGTTATCCCTACAGGTGGTGGTGAGACCATGAGCCCTGTGCTGGACAATAGTCTAACTAACATCCAGTGGCTGGGGAAGATGAGATCTGATGGACTAAGTCCCTGTTCTGTGAAGCAAGGCACTGAGAAAGAGAACCAGATGCCTCTGCAGGAAGGAATGAAGGTAAGTAGGAGAAGACAGTGTGTGCTAAAGCTGCTGACAGGGAGGTAAGCCGTGTGAATCAGGAGACTTGCAAGAAGTAGGCGTCACCACCTCTTGAGTAACCTGAGTTTGGCCTTTGCTGATTTGAGTAGCAGAACCAGGAGGACCCAGGCGTGTTCCGTGGCCCTTCTTGTCAACTTTGTGAGCGCTCACATATCATTTCTTCTGTCTCTCAGACTGAAGAAAATTCTGCTGCTGCTTCTGTTCCTGCTGCTGCCGCTGTCTCCTCGTGGCAGGACTCGGTGTCGGAACGCCCTCCTTACTCCTACATGGCCATGATCCAGTTTGCCATCAACAGCACTGAGAAGAAGCGTATGACTCTGAAGGACATCTATACCTGGATTGAGGATCATTTCCCATATTTTAAACATGTGGCTAAGCCAGGTTGGAAGGTAACAAGCAGGCCCTCAGGTTGCTCTGGGCCACAAGGTGATATAAGCCTTCTGGATGAAAATGAGAAGTTGTTGCCCAACCTGCAGAGCAAGATGGAGATTAATTTAAACACCCTACCCCAAATACCCTCTCGTTCCAGATGTTCCATGTTCCACTTCTTGTATCTTTTCTCCCTCTACTTAGGCAAGATGATGAGATGTTTGATCCCTGCAGTAAGAATAGGGATCTCAAGAATAGAGTAAGACTAATGACAGGATTGGCTGGGTGTTCAATGGATACAGAGGTCTGTGTTTGCACTTTGGAATGTAATTTCTCTGCCAGGGCACTGGTGTCTGAGGTAGGCCTTGCTGTGCTGGTAACACCCCCCTGTTTCTCAGCCTCCCCCTCACTGCTCTCTCCCCAGAACTCCGTCCGGCACAACCTGTCCCTTCACGACATGTTTGTCCGCGAGACGTCTGCCAACGGCAAAGTCTCCTTCTGGACCATCCACCCTGACGCCAACCGCTGCCTGACGCTGGACCAGGTGTTCAAGGTGAGTGCCTCACGAGAGGAAAGGGGACGTGCTACCCAGGTCCAAAACACCACACTAGCCAGATGGGCCTTATTTTAGCCAGACAGTCAAGCTGCTTTGAGATCAGCCTTCTTGTAGGAGCTTCTCTTGACAAATAGACAAGCTCTGTGTTCAAAAAAAAACAGATGCTGTGCATGTAAACTGGAGCTTCTGTGGGATGTGATGTGCCAAATGTAATAGTGAGCTTGTTAAACTTCTTTCTGATCCAAATTCCTAGTGAGAAGCTTTGCACTGAAGTAAACCAGGACTTCCTACGCTGTCTGATTAGACAGTCCTAAGATGAAATTGCCCTATCCTAGCTGGGTGTCTGTAGAAGTACCATTTGGTAAGAGAAAGTACCTGTGACTCTGGTATAGGTGTGTTTAGACTCTTCTGTGTTTTCTGCAGCGTGTGGGCAGATTTGACTCTTGGTTGCTCAGATTATGCAAGTTTAAAGTGTCCCCTTTGTTCCCCCTTTGGTTGGTAACCTCATCTTATTTTTCTCCCTCTCAACGCTTTGCTGCCACCAGCCACTGGACTTGGGGTCACCAACATCGCCTGAGCACTCTGAATCAGTAAGACTTACCCTCTGCCCTGGGGCTTGGGCTTCCATCCTCCTCTTGCCAGTCACTGAAGGAAAGGACAAGAGGCTCAGGGAGGGGGACTGAGTCACTGCTGCACCTAGTCCTACAGCTCCATGCACTCTTTTTGGGGAGAAGCATGGAGCCAGAGGTTACTGGCCCTCAGGCGATCATGCTCTCGGTTGGCTGGCAGAGGTACAGCTCTGAGCAGCCAGAGGGCTGCTGCTGAAGTGGGGTGCAGTGGGCACCAGCAGGCTTCAGAGAACAAGCCCAGACAGAGGGTTCTGGTAAAATCCTCATCTCCATGGCAGCAGTCCCAATCTGTTCTGGGGCTCAGATCCAGAGACAGTGGATCTCTCTGTGCTCTTTTTTTTTCCTTTTGGCATCCAGCTGCACTGTGACTTTCAGAAGGATGAACCTGTTTAATGTCTCTTGCATTCAGCAGTTTCAACAATGACAGATTTGCAAGCAGCCAGTCAAACCCTTTTCTGTCGTGGCTATGGCCCTGGCCTTCTTTCCATCTGCTTAGATTTCTGATTCCTCTGTTGCCTTTGCTATTGCACTGAAACATCTACCTGGTCTATGGTTTGTGTAGAGAGCCAATATACAATAAAGCACCTTATTCACCTTTTCTCAGACACTGAGGGCAGTGAAACCGGGTGACTTCTGCAGTAGAGTCTGCAGCTGGAGCCACTCTATCATGTCATCTCTCTCTACACAATAGCTGGCTTTGAGATGGCATGGCTGCCAAACAGCAAGTGGCCCAGAGGTAGAGCTGCATGAGTGCTGTATGCTAACAGCTGCTCTCTCAGTATTAGCTCAGCACAGGCTTCTGGATTCACAGTTCTGGATGAGGTAGCAGAAGAAAGAGGGATGCTTTTCTTTAAATCCTTTTCTTTTCTTCTCCTGTTTCTTATTTCACAATGACTGCAGCAGCAAAAGAGACACCTACCAGATCCCCAGAAGAACGCTGGAAACAACAGCAGCAGCAAAACTGAACCCCAGAATGCACGTGAGTGTCCACAGCAGCCTAGACCAAAGAGAATCAGTCCCATAAATCTGGGGCACTCTCCCAGATTCCCATAGGAATAAAAGTGGAAATTATTATCCCTGGTTTGCTAGCTTTTGGACTTCCTACTGTCAGGTTTGGAGCTGTAAGCAGTATTGCTGTGTCTGAGAGAGGATGTGATGGGGAGATGTAGGGGATTGGGTATTCAAACGAAGCAAGAGCAGAGCTTGCTGCAGCTTGAGGGCTAGGATCTTTATGAAGGACTGTTTGCTTGTTCATCAGGACTTCTGGCTTGGGATTTGTATCCTCAAAATTAGGAGAGAAGGCAAGTGAGCCTGTCTCTGATCAGATGTTTATTTTGGGGTATTTAGAAGGACTTCCTTCCTGTTAGGTGCCTGGATTTCAAGAGCTGTAGAGGAAGGGTAAAAGGCTAGCAAGTCCCTTCTTTTCCCTTCTAGGCCGAAAGATGAAGCGTCTGCTTCCTCGCATCAACTCCTACCTGGTTCCCATCCAGTTCCCGCTGGGTCAGCCTCTGCTCTTGCAGCCTTCTGTGAAGGTTCCTGTTTCAGTGGCACAGGGGGCTCCCCTCAGCAGCTCGGAGACCTTCCGGAGCAGTAAGCGTGTGCATATTGCTCCAAAGGTTGGTTCCTTCTTTTCTGAGAGGTTGTTTGTTGTTGTTCAGCAATTTTGGGGAGGGTTATTTGTTTGTTTCTGTGTTTGTTTTTTTTGTTTGGGTTTTTTTTATTTGTTGGGTTGGTGCATTTTTTTTTTTCTGCAGCTCTTTCTTTCTGTGGTTCTGTTCTTCACAGGGTTCCTTTGTGCAGCTTAGTAGGTGCTCTGAAACTCTAAGGTCATATTAATGAACTAGCCAGTGACAATCCTTGCTGTTCTTTCCTGTCTCTAGGATGACTGTTACCTTCTGGTTGACTTGCTATAAGGATGTTACTGTAGGTCACTAGAGGAGGGTGTTCTGTGGGTTGCTCAAGAAAATTTTGTCCCTACTGCTTGGATGTGAAGAAATAAGAATGGGAGAAGTGGCTTTGTTCTGCCTGTAAAACATTCAGGGTTTTGATAGCTCTGAAGAGACATACATACAACTTAGAGAACTTACTCTGAAAGAGTATTTATTTGCATGTGGTGTCTTCCCAGAGGTTTTCAGTACCTGCTGGTTGCTAATTCCATGGAGTTCCCAGTTACTCTGGGCTCAAGCAAAACAGCTATTGAACTGGTCTTTATCTTGGCATTCCACTGACTGCTCTTGGTTACTTAGACATCGTAAAACTTTTACTTCTTCCGTCCTGTCTAACCTTTGTGTGCCTGCTGCTTTGTTCTCTCCTGCTATGATTTATCTTTCCCCTGTGCTCTTTCTTTTAATAATGTCGATTATGTAATTTTCTTTTCCTTGGTTTCTGGGAAAGCTGTCCTCATTATGTTTATTATTTCATATGTAGATAGTGTAAGGAGGTATCAAAGGGGTTACACTTTTCCAGAAATAGTCAGCTCTCCTGCCTGTGCTCCTAGAAGTTCCTTTTCCCCTGCGCTCTTTTTCTTTTAGTAATGTCGATTATGTAATTTTCTTTTTCCTTGGTTTCTGGGAAAGCTGTCCTCATTATGTTTATTATTTCATATGTAGATAGTGTAAGGAGGTATCAAAGGGGTTACACTTTTCCAGAAATAGTCAGCTCTCCTGCCTGTGCTCCTAGAAGTTCCTCACAGCCAAAGTGCCCCGAAGGGCATGACTTCCAGTCACTTGGCTAAAATCCTCCCCTTGTCATCTGTGGGCTGCTTTGTATCAGCTTCCCACAGAGATCAATCTCTATCTGTTCTTACAGCTACTGCCTTCTGAAGACACTCCTCTTACCTGTTCTGCTGTCCTTGCATGCCAGTCTTTGTTCCACCACCATTTGGATTAGGGTGTGTTAGACCCTCGCTGACTGCGTATCGCTGGTGTTTCTTTGTAGATGTCACTCTCTGCAGAAGATTCATCCTCCTTGCCCATGTCTGCTGTCAAGCAGGAGACCCAGAGTGATGAAGGTTTATTTTCCTCCACCCATTCCTTAAGGGAGAGCAGCTCCCAGCCCGGTGAGGAACCTGCTTCTTTCCCCGCCAGCATCTGTGTCAAGGAGGAAGGCGGCTCTCCGCTGGGCGACTGGCTGTCCCCGTTCGCCTCGACCTTAATGGTGAAGGAGGAGCCAGGCCCGTTCCTCGCAGGCTCCTCCGGGAAGGAGAAGAGGCCGGCGGGCACACCGAGGCCGGCC